AATCGCTTATGGTGCTAGAACCATCAGACTATGGAATGTATTATGGTGCTAAGAACCACAGACTATGGAATAGCTTATGGTGCTATCTGGAACCAAAAGTGTACTAAAGATATAATATATATCAAGGAAAAGAGTTTACTTACGATAATGAGCCGGCCGTCAGCGAAGAAGAATCGCCGCCTCGGCGAAATCGTCATTTTTCGCAAAACTCAAAATCAAAACCAGCCATAGAATCGTTTTGAAAGTACTACCATTGGATTTACCACACAATTTTACATTTCTTTCTGTAAAGTCTTTCTTTGCTAATTTTCAATATTAAGGCATTTACACACATATTTACTGATATACAGTCAAATCAAATGCCAAACATATCATCATGTTTTCTCAACATATTATTAAGAAAAATGAGTTGATGAGCAAGTAATAATAATTATAATGAGCTTAATAATATATGGCTATTACAAATTTACGTAGTTCTTTGTTCGTCATTTATGTAAATACTTTTGTTATTTCTTCAAGCTGTTGGAAGGTCCTTGCCTATCAGAGCCTCCAATCACTGTGTACATAACTCCTCTGTATGCATTGTCATCAGGATGTTGGATATCCACTGCAGAGAATCCTGCCTGAATCAGGATATTGAGTGTCTAAATCTGTTTAGAAATTCGTATATTTTATATGGTGTTCAGTTATTCAAATTAAATAATATAATAACAATAATTTTTTTTACAATCCATTTGCATTCACAGTCTAAGTAATTATGGAAGCAATGGCGTCGAATCAGGGAGACTGTCTAGCTTCCTCCTCTATTCCACCCTTCTTCTTCTTCTCCTCTTTGTGTTTGGTTAATCACATTCAAAGTCACACCATTGACTCATGACGTATAACACTCACCATTGACTCGTGACGTAACACACAACATTAACTCATGACGTAACACACACTAGACTCATTCTTTACCCATGCAAATATGACACGACCAAAATCAGTTGCATATGTTGCTTGCGTTTTCATGTGTATAGTTTTGTTAAGAAAAGACAACTCTTGGTTTAATATGAGTTTATTCTGATCACTTGCCGGACAGAGAAATACAGATCACAGAGATTTTTACTCGAGAGAACTGGACACATCTCGGCATTAGGAACCGCACATCCTCACATTCCAAACGCAATACTGACATTTACCCACACATCAACATTCACTTGCTCACGTCCCAGGCCACACCCGTTGTGTCTCAGGCCACATCCCTCATGTCTCAGGCCACATCCCTCATGTCTCAGGCCACATCCCTCATGTCTCAGGACATACCCTTATACCTCAGGCCACACCGTCATATGCCACCCAAAAATGTGATAATTCCACAAGAAATGCTATCCTCTACAAATGTCTTGGCTTCTATTAAATTTTCCTTGTTTGTTTTCTACAAACAGATATTCCTGTTTTGAGTATCTCGGTAAGACGTGAAGTCCTGCGGGACCTGTTGATTTAATGGACAACTTTCCTTTATTATGCATCAGAGATCTATTACCATCAAGGCGAGTGCCGAGTGCCAGTTTCTCTCACACTTCACATAACCTCCACGATAATACATAAACAAAAAAAATCATGGAAATTTGTTTAACTAAATGGAATGACCATGGCATATGTAAGTAGCAGCCACGAATTACCTTAACAAGATGTAACATTGAAAAAAAGGCATTTTAACACTATTGCAAAATTTACGAAGACAATTACAACAGATCTTGCAAGATTTTGAACCCTTCCGTTGTTTCTGTGACGCAGACGGAAGCATCACTACTGCCAACGTGGGATAATATTACCCAACCTGAATACGACATCCACCAAGGTCAAACACACACACATTGTATTGTCAGTTTCTTATTAATTATTATTGGTGTCTTGTAAAAATGACATCCAATACTATCATTCAAATATGAGATGATGAAATGACCCATATGTGAGTGTGTATATTTATACTCTAAAATACCTGCATCGTAAATGTGGGTGTTGTATGTGGGTGTTATGTAAATATATACTCTCAAATACTTATAAAACATGTGGGCATTATATATAGATATACTCTTAGACATCTGTAAAATATGTGGATATTATATATATATTTATACATACTCTAAAACACCTCTACAACATCATGTGGACGTTTTATATATATATATATATATATATATATATATATATATATATATATATATATATATATATATATATATATATATATATATATATATATATATATATATATATATGTTTCAGAGTATATATATACTCTGAAACACCTCTACAACATGTGGGTGTTATATATATATACTCTGAAACACCTGTAATACACAAAGTCGAAACATACACGATCGTTTCCTCAACATTTCAAGTTTCATAATACATTTTTGGAAACCAGAGATTAATAATTTTTGATAGGTCTAAATAATTATATTCAAATGGTATGGCACAGCAGAAAGTAGCCCAGGGCATATATATATTACCTAATAGTATACAAAACCTTAAATATAACCTTGATGGACACTCCCTTCACCCAGCAGGGGCTCGGATTCGAAGAAAACCTCACCATTTGCCTGGGGAGAAGTTTGTTCTTTTGTCTTGCTCAAAAACTCTTACTCGGAGACTTCAAGATCTCAATCTTGAGGAAATTTATTATTTGTAGTTCAAGCGGAACACAAAGTGCCGGAAATGATGCATGGAACACCGTGGAAAAGAGTAGACTCTTGTATGAAATCTGATCCAATCTTGATAAATCCCTTGCAGGAAACGTGCGGCCTAGCTTTATAAAGTATACTCTCTTGTTGGTGTTTATGTATAATATTACTTATATAATTTGTGTTCGTTCTTTCTGAAATTCCTGAGAATAATAATGGAGTGACCTCATAAAAGTGTATTTTCTCCAAATGAAACGCTGATTATTTTTGGAGGTAAATTGCTTGTCTATAAACCACAATGTCCTGAAAGCTTTTAAGGTATAACAATACGATTTGGAAACAATGTACAATTAAATGTAGTTGTGGTGATCTTAGAGAATGTAGCGTCATTCAAGGAATTACATTGGGCCTCATAATCACTGTATCTTTCAAGTAATAACTATGATATCACATCCTTGAAGGAGTATTTCCAGCTTCCAAGAACACGGCGCGTCCTTGAAGGTGACAGCTCCCTTCTAAGTCACGGCAGGACACCCAGGAGTGTCTTGTCATCCTCTGTCACTACTCTGAACTTTGCTGAGCGTGATCCTTCGTGAGGTGGCACTCTCAAGTCCGTTCACGAACATCTTTATAAGTCAACATTAACTTCTTGTAGCTTTAGCTTATTAGGACTTGTGTCAATAACATTTTAAGACTACTAAAAGTGTTTAATAATGGACTGTTTTATCGTATCTTATTACATGAACATTTTTCGACGTTCCATTTTATCCTGGAACATTTTATCTGATTTTAAACTGGTTATCTTTTGAATAACATACAAGCAAAGTGTAAATTAATGTATATAACTTTATACCATAACTAACACATGTACACACCATATCATGCGAGCCTTAAGCAATAATCCATTATTTGTACACAATAAGTTAACGTATTCCCCAAAAACAACAACAACTATGACATACATTTGAAAGGTTTTTATCATTAGTGAAAACAGCGGCTCAGTTGTTGTTAAAACAGACCAAACACTGTATCTTGGAGGTCGCCTGATGACGCCAGGAGATAGATGCTGATAGCCAATGTTACCGTCGAACTGTATTGTGTTGCTGTTGTGTCAGACGGTGGGTCAGGTGTTGCTGGTGTGTCAGACGGTGGGTCCAGTGTTGCTGGTGTGTCAGGTGTTGCTGGTGTGTCAGGTGTTGCTGGTGTGTCAGACGGTGGGTCCAGTGTTGCTGGTGTGTCAGGTGTTGCTGGTGTGTCAGGTGTTGCTGGTGTGTCAGACGGTGGGTCCAGTGTTGCTGTTGTGTCAGACGGTGGGTCCAGTGTTGCTGGTGTGTCAGACGGTGGGTCCAGTGTTGCTGGTGTGTCAGACGGTGGGTCCAGTGTTGCTGGTGTGTCACACGGTGGGTCCAGTGTTGCAGCTGTGTCACACGGTGGGTCCAGTGTTGCAGCTGTGTCACACGGTGGGTCCAGTGTTGCAGCTGTGTCACACGGTGGGTCCAGTGTTGCAGCTGTGTCACACGGTGGGTCCAGTGTTGCAGCTGTGTCACACGGTGGGTCCAGTGTTGCAGCTGTGTCACACGGTGGGTCCAGTGTTGCAGCTGTGTCACACGGTGGCTCCAGTGTTGCAGCTGTGTCACACGGTGGCTCCAGTGTTGCAGCTGTGTCACACGGTGGGTCCAGTGTTGCAGCTGTGTCACACGGTGGCTCCAGTGTTGCAGCTGTGTCACACGGTGGCTCCAGTGTTGCAGCTGTGTCACACGGTGGCTCCAGTGTTGCAGCTGTGTCACATTAAGAGGCTCCTATCATGCAATATAATTCTCATATTGTAATTTTCTTTCAAATACTTGAGTTATGTTTGATTTGTAATTAAAACTTTAAGATTTACAATGACATCACCAGTAACTTGCAACTTCTTCAAGGGGTTCTTTCAACAACCTTTTCTCTTTTTATTAATCTAAACGATAAATGCGCAATAGTGTTAAGGTGTTTCTTCGCGTATATGTGTTGCGACAAGTCTTATTGTGTTGCTTATCTTGGCCTTAAAGCGGAAGGTACTAAAACATACCAATATCTCAATATATTATACACATAGACATACATATTTGTCACTTGGATACTTTCCACAACAAACTAATGTTTTAGGAATCAGCACACCAAAGTACAAACTTAACACACACACACATTTTTTTTAAGGAACGAATTGACCTGAAATGTGCGTGAAATATTATATATATATATATATATATATATATATATATATATATATATATATATATATATATATATATATATATATATATATATATATATATATATATATATATATATATATATATATATATATATATAATCCTAGTACACGCATTCTGCACGACAAAATAAAAACAGGAATTTGTAATGTTTGGACTTGAACATTGAACACTTGAACTACACTTGGAATACAATGACTGGGTTCGTGCACTTGCCGCGTTCATTGTCCTTTATTAATGTGTCCAAGTAACCACATTGATTTGACCACTTGTTTAGGCCTTTGACAGTGCTAACTTGATTGCTACATTGTTTCCTGTAAAATGAATGCTGATGATAAGTTCACTGTCATGAGGAGGGCAGCTGTGGTGCGGTCACCTGCCCCAGCAACTGTTCCTTGGTCACCAGGTAACTCAAAGAGCAGACACCTGTGCCTAGCTGCTCATTTTGTCACAAGGAAGCAGCAGAATGAAGGGTCACCAGTGACGGTGCAGTGGTCACCAGGACACTGCTTGAAACATCACCAGTGACGGTGCAGTGGTCACCAGGACACTGCTTGAAGCATCACCAGTGAATGTGCAGTGGTCACCAGGGCACTGCTTGAAGCATCACCAGTGAATGTGCAGTGGTCACCAGGGCACTGCTTGAAGCATCACCAGTGACTGCAGTGGTCACCAGGACACTGCTTGAAGCATCACCAGTGAATGTGCAGTGGTCACCAGGGCACTGCTTGAAGCATCACCAGTGAATGTGCAGTGGTCACCAGGGCACTGCTTGAAGCATCACCAGTGAATGTCGTGGTCACAAGGGCACTTGACGAAGCATCAGGAGTGGGCACTTACTGCTAGAGAGATGGCCAGCGCCAAAACCACAGTGAGGTGAAGACTGGTAAGGGCCGGCCCGCTGCTGTAGAATGGACAGTAGGGACACTGCAAGGAGGAGAAAGTTGTCTTATGAATCAAGCAATCACTCGGTCAATATATCTATCATTTATGTATCCGACGTAAAGGCCAATCGGAACACTCACACACACACGCCCATAGCTCACGATGCCGAGCTGTGCTTCAGGAAATATAATGAGGCTGGGGCATATAAACATTAACTTGGCACACTTGAAATGGGAAAAACAGGAGAGGAACGAGCAGGATGTGAAGGAAGCAGGAGAGGCGGGAAAGACAACAAGATCATAATTTTTTTTTTTAACAGGGCAATAACAGGTTAGTGCAACAACAATGACACGAATCAAAATGAATTTGTAACTGAAACGTGTAACAACAAGGAATGATAACAGACATGTAACAACGGATTTATAACAAACATACAACATCAGAAATGTATGACAAAGGCATGTAACAATGGGGGTTGTGTAACAACAGTGGTTTGCAACACGCATCCTTGCAGTGTGTACTTTTGTTTGTTGTACATTAGGATGTGCAGCAACAGAGGTATACAATATGAGAATGCACAACAACAGCAGTATACAACATGAGGATAGTATACCCTTATACAACAGTATAAGGGTGTACAGCAACGGAAGTGTACAACAATATAAGGGTATACAATATGAGAAGTATACAATGACATAAGGATGTACAACAACAGAAGTATACACCAATACAAGGGTATACAACAGTACATGGGTATACAACAGAAGTGTACAACAATATAAGGGTATACAACATAAGAAGCATACACACGGCAATATAAGGGCGTACAACAAGAGCTGTATGCAATCAAACAAGTGTACAACAACAACAAGGACGTCCAACAATGTAATGTTTATGTTGCTTAATTATTAAGTAATAATAAAGGGTGTATGCGAGTGTCGAGACCCCTGTGTAACACTCTATCATGTCGCAGGTGTATGCGAGTGTCGAGACCCCTGTGTAACACTCTATCATGTCGCAGGTGTAAGGCAACATGAAGCGGGACTGTAGGTGTTGCTGGGCCTCTCTGTGGGTACGGAGGTGGGAGCTCTGTGGGAGATGCCCCAAGATTCATTTTGCTAAGGCGACCTAAGAGGTCGTCTTAGTGACCAAAGACGACCTCTTGTCTGTGCGTGTGTGTGTGTGTGTGTGTGTGTGTGTGTGTGTGTGTGTGTGTGTACTCACCTAGTTGTGTTTGCGGGGGTTGAGCTCTGGCTCTTTGGTCCCGCCTCTCAACCGTCAATCAACAGGTGTACAGATTCCTGAGCCTATCGGGCTCTGTCATATCTACACTTGAAACTGTGTATGGAGTCAGCCTCCACCACATCACTGCCTAATGCATTCCATTTGTCAACCACTCTGATACTAAAAAAGTTCTTTCTAATATCTCTGTGGCTCATTTGGGCACTCCGTTTCCACCTGTGTCCCCTTGTGCGTGTTCCCCTTGTGTTAAATAGACTGTCTTTATCTACCCTATCAATTCCCTTCAGAATCTTGAATGTGGTGATCATGTCCCCCTGTGTGTGTGTGTGTGTGTGTGTGTGTGTGTGTACTGTACTGCGTGTGTGTGTGTGTGTGTGTGTGTGTGTGTGTGTGTGTGTGTGTGTGTGTGTGTGTGTGTGTGTGTGTGTGTGTGTACTGTACCTATTTACGCCTAGGTGAACATAAATATGAGATGAATGGAAACATTGCTCAATTGATGACCAAACCACACATCAGAAGATGAAGAAACGACGACGTTTCGGTCAGTTGTGGACCATTATCAAGTCGTGTGTGGATATCAACCCATCCTCCTGTTTAGATAGTATCTTGTATAACTGTGTGCACCATAGTACAAAGATTGCCATTCAGAATATAGCAGAGCTTTGTACTATTCATTTTATAGAGTCGGAATAAATTAAGCTAAAAAACAAGTTTTAATAATCCTAAGCCTAGTATAGCACATATATGTACTATATTAGGCCTCAGATATCGTGTATTAGACCTGGGAAAGTTAGATTAGGTTCGGTTAGTTTGTCTTTGCAACGTAAGTAGAAAATAGTTTTCCGGTTTGTTGTATTCAACAGTGTCGATTTCTACTTTTAAATTTCGTTGAAGGTGGGTATATACACTATGGTCCTCATGGTTACTATAAGTGCTACCACAACAGGAGGATGGGCCTGGATATTGTATCGTATATTGTTTCGACCGTAGGACGGACCGAAACGTCGTCACTTCTCCATCTGATGTGCAGTGTGGTCATCATATCTTCAACCACGTTATTGTGACTCATCGTCTGCACTGCCCAATTGTTCCATCCAGGCGAGGGGACTGAACCCGCAAGCCTCGACTGTGAGTCGATGACTTAGCACACTTCACCTTGGAAGTTAGACCACTGTTGTGGGTTGCAGCGTGATGAAGATCACCAGTTGGTCGAAGAGGAACGTCGACAAGCTCCACAGGCTTCCTGTCCCGGACTATGTGAAACTGAAAACAAGAGCGGTTGATAAGACAAGCGCTTATACAGACCTGATAAGAGCCGCACACCTCGCAGACGTCCAGATCGTAGAGCGGGTACACCTCGATCATCGTCATGTTGAAGCGCTCTGCTCGCCGCCATGGAAATCAAAACATGTTATTGTATCACATAACACCAATGAACGCTCTAGGCTGATTAAAGTACATTCAGTTCTAGCTACTGTTCTCTCAGCTGTTCTAGAGGTAGAGATTTTATATTGGGTGGAGGTGGGAGGGAGGGATTACTGTAATGTCTTATAACAAAGTGAAGGATTACTGTAAGGTCTTATAACAAAGTGGAGGATTACTGTAATGTCTTATAACAAAGTGGAGGATTACTGTAAGGTCTTATTACAAAGTGGAGGATTACTGTAAGGTCTTATAACAAAGTGAAGGATTACTGTACGGTCTTATAACAAAGTGAAGGATTACTGTAAGGTCTTATAACAAAGTGAAGGATTACTGTAAGATCTTATAACAAAGTGGAGGATTACTGTAAGGTCTTATAACAAAGTGAAGGATTACTGTACGGTCTTATAACAAAGTGAAGGATTACTGTAAGGTCTTATAACAAAGTGAAGGATTACTGTAATAACAAAGTGAAGGATTACTGTAAGGTCTTATAACAAAGTGAAGGATTACTGTAAGATCTTATAACAAAGTGGAGGATTACTGTAAGGTCTTATAACAAAGTGAAGGATTACTGTAAGGTCTTATAACAAAGTGAAGGATTACTGTAAGGTCTTATAACAAAGTGGAGGATTACTGTAAGGTCTTATAACAAAGTGAAGGATTACTGTAAGGTCTTATAACAAAGTGAAGGATTACTGTACGGTCTTATAACAAAGTGATTCAGTTATTCTGTGGGACCTGAAGGGTCTCCTTGAGACTCCTCCCTCCTAACTAGCAAAAGCCTCCATATACACTCGCACTTGAGCACAAGAGCCCTGAGAACTGACCAGGCTGGTAGAGGTCGTAGACTCTGGCCATGTTGTAGCGGGAGTGGTTGGCCACGGGGTGCCAGCGCTGGATCACATACGTCAGACACGTTTCATTCGTGTCCAGCTGCGGATACCAACATAACATTTAACGCGAATTCAGAGTTAAACGTATTTTAAATAAAATTCAAAATGATATAATTCGGCACAATAGGATTTAGTATAATGCTATATAATAATAATAGTACATGTATAAGAACAAAATACGGCCCCAGGACTGTTACCACTCACATGATTAAAGAAGAATTTGACTTGTGTATCAGTCCTGAGGGCCCAGCGGAGGTTCCTGACGGTGCGGGAGTTGACCAGGTCGATGAGGTAGTCCTGCATGACGTAGTAGCCTGAGGGGAGGTGGACCTCCACCACGGCCACCCCGCTCGTCGCAGCCTCCTCCGTGTCCGTCCACCTGTACAGGGAACGACTCGTCATATTAATATACAATTCCTGTCTTGAATGGCTGCCTTTCATTGTTAATAACTTCATATATGTGTGTGTAAAATATGCGAAAACCAGTGGAATGCTTAGTTAATAATGAACATTTGAGCTTTAATATTAATATATATTATTCCATAGAACATATCCTTTTGGTCTTAATAAAGACAGTTTTAAGGCTTTAAGGAACAAAAGGAACATAAACTTTTGGTCTTAATAAAGACAATTTTAAGGCTTTAAGGAACATTACGGAAGGTTTCCCCATAGAGTCGAATAAACCATTAGCGAATACTATCAAGAGGAATTTATGCAATAGCAGCAAAAGTAGTTTCTACTAACAATATTTATCGGTAGCAAACTTGAGATAATCCATTCCCCCCCCCCCTCCATACCTCTGGCAGGTGGTGATCTCTAGGTGGGAGTTGTTCCTTCCGGAGAACTTGGAGACGACGGTGAACTCGAAGGCCTCGACGGGGGGATAGTCGAGCAGGGGCTCGTAGTCGACGCCATAGCTGTAGTCGAGCTGGACCAGCGCCTGGCCAGACCCGTGTCCCACCACCCTAATATGGCCCCAGATGTTCTCCAGCTGTGAAAATACACACACAATTACATTATATATATATATATATATATATATATATATATATATATATATATATATATATATATATATATATATATATATATATATATATATGTCGTACCTAGTAGCCAGAACTCACTTCTCAGCCTACTATGCATGGCCCGATTTGCCTAATAAGCCAAGTTTTCCTGAATTAATATATTTTCTCTAAATTTTTTCTTATGAAATGATAAAGCTACCCATTTCATTATGTATGAGGTCAATTTTTTTTCATTGGAGTTAAAATTAACGTAGATATATGACCGAACCTAACCAACCCTACCTAACCTAACCTAACCTATCTCTATAAGTTAGGTTGGGTTATGTAGCCGAAAAAGTTAGGTTAGGTTAGGTTAGGTAGGTTCGGTAGCCGAAAAACAATTAATTCATGAAAACGTGGCTTATTAGGCAAATCGGGCCTTGCATAGTAGGCTGAGAAGTGAGTTCTGGCTACTAGGTACGACATATATATATATATATATATATATATATATATATATATATATATATATATATATATATATATATATATATATATATAGAGCCCATACCTTAAAACTACAAAAAACTGAGTTTCTATGATATGCTATAAGACATACCGGAAATTTGAAGTCTGAACTACAAAAGCCAGTTAAAAGAACAAAGCCCTTCAAACCTGGAGAGAAGAATATGAGAGGACATGATTCAGACGTATATGATACTGAGAGGAAGAATAGACGAGGTGGACAAGAACAAACTAATCCAAGTACTTATAAAACAGACAGAGAAGTTACAGATGGACAGTGGAAAAAACAGATTAGCTGCAACGCCGTAAGAAAGCACTAGTTAGTACAGATGAAGAAGATGGATTAAATGGACTTAAAATAAAGGTAGTCGAGGCAAATATAAAACACAATTTCAAAAGTAGATATGACAAAATCCCGAGAAATTGTGAACAGAGTTGTGTCAGGTGCCCTTAGAGAAGGAGAGTCCACAGATATATTCCACCTTACCTACGATCACTATTAAGCAAGAAATAAAACGTAAACCATAATGTAAACAATTTACATTCTCAAGTCGATTGTGAGAATCGACTTGAGAATGGTCCAGGACGGACCGAAACGTCGTCGTCCCTTCACCTTCTAGTGTGTGGTCTGGTCAACATTCTCACAAATGCCCTACAGCTGTAAATAATGCACAAGGCCCAGTTTACCCTCCTGCCATAAAGCTAGAGCAGTAACCCCACAAACACTACCGACTACTCACATCGTAGGACCTCATGTCGGCGAGGTCGAGGGAGTTGCCCAGGTAGACGTCGACGGTGAAGTTGGGGTTGGCGGAGTGCTCGAGGGTGACGCGCATGTCAGTGACGTCCCGGAGCCGGGCGCGGTAGGAGTACTCCACCAGCGCCTCCATCGCCGCCACGCTGTCCTGTGTGGGCAAGACAAGATGAAGGAGGTTATGAGAAACAAGATGAAGGAAACTGTGAGAGACAAGATGAAGGAAACTGTGAGAGACAAGATGAAGGAGGTTTATGTACATTAAATTCGGTTTTCGATATTTAAAGTTAATTTGTGCATCTCCTTTTTAATTTGAAGTTCCAATGACCATAATTATGGCAGAATTCCCTCTCAGCACCAACATGCGCGGTGTACATAAACACAGACGCTGTACCACTTCTTACCAAGGTAGAGATGAGGCCTCCATCGATTTCTCTCATAACGGCGAGGAACCTGACGATGTTCTCCTGGATGATGCCTATGCCCTCCCTGGCGATGTAGACCAGCAGGGCGTACGAGGTGGTCTCCACGGCGTGAGCGTCCCACTTCTGGTCGTTCTTGGGCATGATGAACGGCTTCTGGCTGTCCTCGTACACCAGGGGGTTGAAGCTCACCGGCTCGCGGGACCAGTAGATCTTGCTGCCTGTGCCACCGTTAGTGGAGATTAATATCTCACCAGACTTTTATAAATTCATATGGTGGCTGTTGGGTTTGTAGTTTAAGTCTGTGACAGGGTACGGGATACCCGGCAAGAACCAATACATTTTGAAACTTAAGAAGTGTCAATGTACCGTAATGCAAGAGCAAAGAAAAAAAAGTCAGTAAGAGATTTGCCGCGTTCCAACTGCTCGACGGCTTCTCATACCACGTCCCAAAGCAGCCTCACAATGAATATGAATTTTAATATTTAAATATTACTGGCGTCGCAACATGTAGATATGAGGATAATGTAATATGTCTTAACACACAACTTATTCCGCTCTGGCAATACAGCCTTTAGTGGCAGGTGTGGTGAGTCGGTCGCCACTTACCCTCCGACCTCTTCATGGAGTCGAGGAGGTTAAAGGCCGCCTCCTTCTTGGTGGAGTCAGCCTTGGTGAGGGCCCAGGCCACCAGCGCCACGTCGTAGGGGTCGTGAAGGGTCTCCAGCTCCCGCTCAAGGTACCTGAAGCCAAAAACCTATTATTCATTGAGCATTAACTGCCATTAAGGTATTGTTACTATACATGATAGTGTGCATTTAATTGTCATTAATATATGCAGTTATTATGGGTATTGTGGAAGTCGTTCACCACCACCATCTGTGATATTAACTTAAGGAGACATGTATATTGCACAATAGCCTATCTTACTCTGAGTCTCAGGATAAATATCAGTGACGATGACATTTTATTCATATATATATATATATATATATATATATATATATATATATATATATATATATATATATATAACTTTATAACATTTATATATATATATATATATATATATATCGATATATATATATATATATATATATATATATATATATATATATATATATATATATATATATATATATATATATATATATATACTAAACTAATGAAGTTTAAGTATTTCTCTTGGTTACTCAAGCCAGACTTGACAGATTTTATGGTGTGACCACTCTATAATATATTATTAATAGTGTTGAGAGTTTAATAGTAGTTGGTTCTGGCCATGAAATTGTCTGTAAAGCTAACCATGGGTCCAGTGTTCACCTGGTCCTCGCCATAGAATCAACCTTGCCCTGAGGGTGCCTACCCACACACCCCTACACCAGAGGCCAGATTCATGAAACAGTTACTCAAGTACTTACAAACGTATACATCTTTCCTCAATCTTTGACGCCTTCGGTTACATTTATTAAACAGTTTACAAGCATGAAAACTTCCCAATCAACTGTTGATATCGTTATAAACAGCCTCCTGGTGCTTCGGAGCTCATTAACTGTTTAATAATTGTAAACCAAGCCGCCAAAGATTGAGAAAAGATGTACAGCTTGGTAAGTGCTTGCGTAACTGGTTCGTGAATCTGGCCCCTTTGGTTCTTAATCACGGTTATAGTACTGAGTATACACTTACGCCACAGCGCTGGCCTTGGCTATGCTGGCCTTGGACCTGACGTTGCCGTGGAGCCCCGGGAAGATGGCGACGAGGGCCAGGACCACGTGGGCCGTCAACGACACATTCTTGCATCCGTCTCGCTCCAGCTGGAACGCCGGCTGTGAAAAGAAAACCATAAGTAACAATTAACACTCACATTGTAATTGCTTTTTTCCTCGTGTTTTTTTCCTCGTGTTTTTTTCCCTCGTGTTTTTTCCTGTTGTTTTATAAGTCAAACCTCAGCAAGACCTTCGAAGAGCACGTACTGGTGTGCTGTCGTCAATATGATCATGATGTTAACTATGACTCGCGCCTCACTTGTCATCAATACTTGATGAATATCTTTACATTTGATAATTACTTATATCACGTTGAAATCTTCTCATATATGGAGTAAAAATAATAATAATAATAATAATAATAATAATAATTTTACGGCACATATCACAATAATGTAAATGTATCAATGAGAAAAGGGGGAAGAGGGGAAAGAGAGAGGGGCGGGAGAAGAGAGAGGGGAGAGGGGCGGGAGAAGAGAGAGTACTTTAATGATACTGGACGGTGACCTGGGCACAGCCAAGTACCCCATTTACTATTTGTGTCTGCAGAAGTCTCATGCCTTCTCCCCCCCCCCTCCCCATCCCTCCCTCCTAATACAAATAAGCGGTTGATGTACTGACGGTGGGGTTGGACTTGGAGTCGAGTGGGTGGGTGTAGTTGGGCGTCTCGGCGAAGGATCCCATCGGCGTCTGGTAGCGCAGTAGCCACTTCGTCGCCATGTTGATTATTAACGGGTCGATAAAAATTAGGTTCTCCCAGTCCTGAAATAATACATATACGCATGTTAATGGTAATATATATATATATATACGTCACACACATACACATGGGGGTCTGATAGCTGAGCGGACAGCACGCAGGACTCGTAATTCTGTGGCCCGGGTTCCATTCCCGGACCAGGCAGAAACAAATGGGCAAAGTTTCTTTTTCCCTGATGCCTCTGTTACCTAGCAGTAAATAGGTACCTGGGAGTTAGACAGCTGTTACGGAGCTGCTTCCTGTGTGTGTGTGTGTGTGTGTGTGTGTGTGTGTGTGTGTGTGTGTGTGTGTGTGTGTGTGTGTGTGTGTGTGTGTGTGTGTGTGTGTGTGTGTGTGTGTGTGTGTGTGTGTGTGTGTGTGTGTGTGTGTGTGTGTGTGTGTGTGTGTGTGTGTGTGTGTGTGTGTGTGTGTGCGTACACGCGTGTATGTGTGCGCGCGCGTGTATGTGTGCACGCGTGTGTGTGTGAACATCTGCTTCAAATCCTCTAAGACTGAACATATATGTGGACGCCACGTTTTACTTTAAGAAATAAAACTGGACCAATGAGCCCAACTTCAGATATTGGATAACTGACGTAGAGTATCCTGAGGGAGACAACCGTCCACCATCTATCAGTATATAATTTTGTAAAAGTAATAGATTTTTGTAGTAGAAAAAAGTGCTCTGCCAAACACACCTGCTCACGTGTCTTCAAACAACAGCTAACGACACCAAACAAAGATTTCTAATCGATACATGATAAGGCTGGCCCAAAAAAACTACATATAATCAATAGTATGATATTGGAATGGATAAAACAAGGGTTAAAACGCGGAAAAAAAAGGACCGTCTGAAATGGAAAAGAATTAAACTGGACAATTTTCTAGAGTATAATATTGCAAAGTTTCAATTTAGGAAGAGGGAGGTGGTGAGGTACGGACCTGGAAGCTGGCCAGCCAAAGTGTCTTGAGGGAGTAGGCTGTGAGCCACACACTTGGCTCAGACTCTGGCCACATCCTGAAGGCGCCGTCCTCGCCCTGGTAGCGGGCCAGGGCGGCGTACTGCACGTTCACCGCCGTCAGAACCTGTGGAGAAGGGCGGTGTTACCTTCAGGAAAATGACCCGCTGGTTGATGATCGACATGAACTTAAAAAACAACGTTCAAATGAATGAAATTGAATTCTGATTTCATTTATTATAAGTGACATTGATATTACAGTATTTCTTGACCAAGCCATCTACGTCAATTATTTAGGAAACTGAACAAAATTCTATCATACCTACACAATTACTTGTCACGGTAATTCAAACATATATGAAAAGTTATGGAGATGCAACATGCTCCATGAACCGCCAGCAGCGTAAGAGTTTACCTGGTACGTGAGACCTGGCTTGATCTGGTTGGTGAGACGAAGGTAGTGAAGCGTCAAGAGGTTGGCAGCGAAGTTGTAGGCTGTGATCTCTGCCCCCATCACCTCCAGCCCCAGCATCGAGCTGCTCCCTACTGGCACCTGCGGGAACGCCGGCCCCACTACGTCACCTGCACAGGAAAACCACATATAACAATAAGAGCCACACACATCTACTCACAAGGTCGGAATGACGTACAATAGTCTTCATAAGATGATAAAAGGACATTCCTACAAGCCTATTGACTCTAAGGAGTCAATAGGCGACCTTCACTTCACCACCAAGTAAGGTGAAGGTCGCCCTGTCTACGCGCCGCACAAACTGCCTCAATTCATGACAATCACATTGACAAACACATGGGATCCACCCTGTTTTCTCATACACAGCTTCTCCCTTTTATGTCGAACCTCATTTATTTCAGAATACTCACCGGTGACGGAGATGTGACCGCTGGGCGTGTCGTAGATGTACCGTCGCTTCAGAGAGTAGGGAATGATGGGGGACTCGTCCAGCTCAATGTCGAGGAAGTCGTAAACAAGTGCCCGGTTCTTCAGATCCAGCAGGATGGATGTGTGCTTGCCAATGGTCACCCCCTAGACAACGAAGGGGCAGGTATTAGTCAAGAGAGGGGTAGTGAGAAGGCAGAGAGAAGATCATGAGTAAAGCAGGACCATTAGGGTGGAGGGATGGATCAGGAGGAAGAGGAAGGGATCATAAAGGGAAGTATACTACATTTTGGAAATGTCTTTTGACATCTCCGTCTCTTATACAAACATTTGCTCGTGTTATCACTCTCACACCCTTTCAGAGGTGCTCGAGAAATACAGGCCTGCCGCCCACCCACCTCGGAGGTGACGTCGATGGTGATGGTGTCATAGTCGGCCTGCATCATGGTGGAGCCCCTCACCGTCACCTCCACCGCGCCCTTCCGAGTGAACACGATGGGAATGTGAACGTCTCGGGACTCTCCGGGCTCCAGCTGTATAACCAAACATCAAAATTACTCTCACTGGATGATTTGGCTGCCTATTACTTTACATCAATTCTACTAATAATCGCCTTCTCCTCATCCTAGTTTCGTGATATAAATTGTGCCAATATCTCTCATGCCGCTTTGATCGTAAGTCACACTTTATGTTTACTTTTCACATTATAAGCCAGATGTCACGACTTTAGTCCTAAAATGTATGTTTCATTCACATTGCTATACACCTGTTTCGCCCAGCCAGTACTGAATGACTTCTGTAAGTTGTTCCGAATAAAGTTTGTGATTCTGATATTGCCAATGTCTATGTTCTGTGTTGTTATTGTGACTCTTATGTCTATGTTCTGTGTTGTTATTGTGACTCTTATGTCTATGTTCTGTGTTGTTATTGTGACTCTTATGTCTATGTTCTGTGTTGTTATTGTGACTCTTATGTCTATGTTCTGTGTTGTTATTGTGACTCTTATGTCTATGTTCTGTGTTGTTATTCTGACTCTTATGTCTATGTTCTGTGTTGTTATTCTGACTCTTATGTAATTAAAGTAATGTAATTTTGATGTAGGCTCTCCCACTTATAAATACACAATCATAAATATAGTTTTTTGATTGATTGGCCGATTGATTCGGCAGGATTTAACCCACAACAGTCAACTAACTCATAGGTATTTATTTACTATATGATGAGCAGATGTATCGGAGGTAAGGAACTGTGAATAGAGGTCTCGTTCAGGGGATAGATACATGTAGCCCACATCTCGTGGCTTTAGGCATTGTATGTACTAGCTCTATCTATAAATCTATCAATATATGTAAAATCTCTTGTATGTATATACCTTACCTGAATAAACATTTTATTTTGTTTTATCTCCGTGTACATAAACTGAGAAGCGGGAGACTGAGACACATACACTGAGTGTATGTGTCTCATACACTGAGACATTACTTTAGTTCTGAAATATGTCCAATTTTTTTTGCTAGTTGCTTAGTAGGCACTTGTGGTGGCCCTACTAATCCTCCAGAGGTTGATAGACCCAACACCAAACTTCTCAACCTGTCCGGAAAGAGGTTGGCGCAAGTTTCCTCACATCTGATACCTCTATTCACCTAGTTCATAATAGTAAATAAGTACCTGACAGCCAAGTACTGACTCCCATGTACTCTCGGGTAAATGACCGAGCTATGCACCTTTCAACACGTGTGTTTGGGACACAAATAGTAAATAGTAAATACACACACACAATTTGAAAGAACACACTGTGGATACCGACCCAGACAATGTGCTGGTGGTCGCCGGTCGCCGTCCGGGGCTTGTAGGAGGCTACGACCCCATTCTGCTCGACCAGCACGGAGCGGTAGTCATCGGACTCTGGTAGAGTGATGAGCACGCCCACCTTGCTCAAGTGGAAGTTGAACACGCACGCCCGCAGGCCCACCTGCTCGAACTGGCGCGCCACCGCCGGCCCTTCCAGCGTCAGCATGAAGGGTCCCGCCGAGTCGAACTACACACAGGGCGAAGACAAGTAGTGAGGATAACATGGGATTAACAGTATGAACATAGCATTAATATTTATATCGATATCTCAATTATAATAAAATATTAATTATAACTATTAATACGAAAAGAAATTAAAGCTAAAACCTTTGGACATTAGTATATATATATATATATATATATATATATATATATATATATATATATATATATATATATATATATATATATAATATATATATATAGCTATAATATGCGAACAAGTATATATATATTAATATTTATATATATATATATATATATATATATATATATATATATATATATATATATATATATATATATATATATATATATATATACACACACACATTTATTGTGCAAAAAAACGATCACGAAAACAGATTTTTTTTAAATCAGGTGAAAAAAACACATTGACAAATTTAAGAATGTTGAATACGTTTTCGGCCTATCTGGCCTTCTTCAGAGCAAGAGAGAGTATGATAGCGTATACGGTATATTATTAATAATAATCCATCATATGAAGCGTGGCTCCAAATGGCGTTATTAATGCTAACATGTGGAACTTGGGTATCACACCCCGGAGAGTTTGCTGTCTTCACTGATGCTTGTAGATGGCTTAACTTGCTTAGTATCATATAGTAAGCTCTAGACACAAACTATGTAGCTTTCAATATAGTCTAGGATAGCTGCGTAAATGACCATACTGTATATCTATGTTGATAATAATAATATTACCAGTGAGAAAGATCCGATTCGAACTGAGGAAGATAGCGAAGCACTCTTCAAGCAAAGCTCGAAGATAATGAGTTATGAGAGACGTGTATGAGGGCTTCCTCATAAACAATGACCGGATGCTCGATAAAAAAAACATCAACCTCAGGCTAGGGTCGTTCAACCGCCGGCGTCGATCCCCTCTCAATGACGCATTCGTTAATTTTAACGTAATTCGTATTCAAAATTAGAATTTTCTCAAATATAAGTTAATATTATTACATAATATAACAAATGTAGGCCTATCTTAGGTTAGGTTCTGTTGGGAATTTGTGGTATTTGTAGAACATTACGTGGATGAAGGCGATGAGTCTCAATAACGTGGCTAAAGTAAGTTGACCAGACCACACACTAGAAGGTGAAGGGACGACGACGTTTCGGTCCGTCCTGGACAATTCTCAAGTCGATTGAGAATGGTCCAGGACGGACCGAAACGTCGTCGTCCCTTCACCTTCTAGTGTGTGGTCTGGTCAACGTGGATGAAGTATTTACAGAGGTTCGATTCGAGTAGAGGACGAATGTTCGAGAAAGATACATACGTCATCAGTTGTGTGTGTTAAGTAATAATCAAAAGAAGGTACCAAGCCGACGTGCGTAAAGGGTTTTTATTTATAGACAGGGGGGTCTGGCGGCTGGATTAACGAGCCTTTGTTGATGAGGCCGGGCTGGCTCACCTTTGTAAATGCTTTATACATACATAATAATTCTCTTAGAACAAATGTGTCTAACTGATCATTCCTGGCGAATTACAACTCAACTGCTACCCTTCTTGTACTAAATACCTCTCTTGGGCTTTGAGCACCTTGCCTCACCTGAATTTTTTCCTCCAGGAGCCCGAGTCCCGTCTCCTTCCCGACGGCGAACATGGACACCACCCAGGTCTGGGGCCGCTTGGGGATGGGGAACACCTGGATCTCACTGCCGTAGCCTCGCACGTCCTTCCACGCCCAGTCGCCGTCGTCGGGGTCGTAGAAGCGGTGGAGGCGACTCAGGCGACGGAGTCGGAACTCCCGAAGAGGATCCTCCACCACCGGACCTGTGCACCGGGGGAGGAGCATGCCGAAATCTATGCTGAATTTGACCGTTGTTGTTGGAGGCGATGAGTCACAATAACGTGGCTAAAGTATGTTGACCAGACTACATACTAGAAGGTGAAGGGGCGACGATGTTTCGGTCCGTCCTGGACCATTCTCAAGTCGTTTGTGGTCCAGGACGGACCGAAACGTCGTCGTCCCTTCACCTTCAAGTGTGTGGTCGGGTCAACACCGTTGTTGTTGTTTTAGATTCAGCTACTGGGAACAAAAAGTCCCAAGTAGCACGGGCTATGGTGAGCCCGTAGTGAACTTACCTGGCACAGGAGCGGGGCTGTAATTTGACTGAATTTGACTGATTTTCCAATTTTCCATACATCTCAAGTGAGGGGCAAGAAGACAGTTGGAAAGTGATATGGGGGCGACATTAGAATACTGTATAAATAAAACGGAAAGTAAAATATATGAGCGAAATAAGAAAATATGACAATTAATTTCTGTGTTATAATTACACTAATTTTGTTAAACTATTTTATTTCAGTCAGATTCAAAGCTATATTAGTATACATATTATTGCGATTTGCAATAATTATCAATGTACTCATCAAAGTATTATTTTTATCTGTGCAATTTGCAATAGTGATCAGCGCTCATATCAACTGACTTTACTCAACGGTGCTGTCACATGTTAGAATCATATGTACAAGAGTAACCTTGAGGTCATACTTACATCCGGCCTCATCAGAGCGGTCGGGGCAGTGGAAGACAGCGTCGCAGCGCTGGGCCCTGCTGTAGCAACCTCCAGTCAGACACTTCAGCTCCTCCTCCCCGCACTCCGCACTCTCTGCACACAGAAACATACACCATGTTACACCACACTCAAAACTTACATAGAATAACACTCACTCAATCCCGCGATATCCTCATTAATCAATTCCTATTGTTTCTCTTGTCATTTATCTCATGGAGTTGTGGTATTGTTTGTCATGGTGCATTTGTCCTGGTGTTGTGCTGTTGTATGTGTCCTGGTGTTGTACTACTGTATTCGTCATGGTGTTGTGTTGTATTTGTCCTAGTGTTGTGTCGTGAGGTAAATCCTGACGGTTAATATTATTCCTATAATGAAGAGTACCTATGATTACATAAGATATATGTTACCATTTACACAATAAATTCTGCATGACATTTCCCACCTGAACAAATATTGGAATATATATATAAATATCGTGAAGAACTGTAAACAAAAGAGCTTAATATTTGGTAAATGCGGCAGTTCTTTTATTAGTAGATCTTACTGTGCTCACCTGATTATAATCACAAGTACTAGAAGTCAGAGTTAAGTCTCTCAAGGGATATATTATAATAATAATAATAATAATAATAATAATAATAATAATAATAATAATAATAATAATAATAATAATAATTTGGGGCAATGGTGTGGCTTGAACCGGCGTCCTGGTGTAGGCCAATCGTAAAATACTGATTGAGTATCAGTTCCGGCCTCCAGAATCTAACAGTGAATTCAGTAGAGTTCTGGGGTGGTTGGCGTTTGCCCAATCGTGGCCCAGTGGGCTAAGGCAGGTGTCTGGGCATCACCAGAGAGCGCCTGTTCAAGTCACCCCCATTGCCCAAATCGATTTTCTCATTGATATATCACGCTATTGTCATATATGATGTAATGAAGTCATATATGTCACAAGTCATGGGATTAAGACTATATGCATTAAACGTAAAAGCCACAGAGGCGGCCCACCTGAGGCGTGGTGCGGGTGGTAGAAGAGATCGGCGTCCGTCATCACAACGAGGTCGCTGAAGTTGAAGGTTGAGGGCGCGTCCGGCCCGGCCATCGAAGTGGAGAAGAGGAACACCTTGGCCCCGTTACCATCGCGTGACCTAAGAGAATAAAAGAACTCGTTACTCAAGAAACTAAAGTAATTATTAAAAGACGGAAAGAGCGGAGGGGAATCATATACAGTGTTTGAGAAGTTACTGGTGAAGCATTGTTGACGGACCTTGTTGCGGCTCGGCGGAGATGGGGCACCGACACGTTCGCTCGCCTCTCGTGCATTGTGTCGTTCTTCTCCAGGTCCAGCATGTGGTAGAGAACCCTGGCGGCGTCTAGCTCGTGACCGGCGTCCATACGGTGAGTCTCCTCCCACACGGCCGACACGGCGAAGAAGGCGCCGGGCTCTCCTAACATCTTCATCTCCACCGACCCCCCAGAGTGGTCCTTGTGCTCGTTCCACCGGATGCCCACCTGTGTAAGGGAGGCGTGTTGACCTTGTTGCTGCTTGACCTCAATACAGTTCGCACCTATCTTCTACCTGGCTCTTATTGCCTACGTAGTTATTATCTGGCATTCACTTATTTAAGGATCTGTTTGGCTTTTATATTGTGTCTCCTTCCAATACTTCTCTCCCCGTCCCATTACAAATCCTTATCCTGACCCTTTCCCAGTGCTATATAGTCGTAATGGCTTGGCGCTTTCCCGACAATTCCCTTTCTCTTCCTTCCTTCCAATCCTATGTCGTTTGTCTGATAATACCTACCAGTCTCTTGGACTTCTCATCACCATTTGCCCTCTCCACCTACAACTCATCAAGCTCAACTGCCAGTTACATTACCTCGTGTCTTCCTAACGGGTTGACGGGGACCACGAGGGCGTGAGAGACGAGCTGGCCGTCCTGCGTCACCACCCACACCACGATGTGGGCGGCCGGAGCCATCTCCGTGGACGCCGGTAGAGAGAAGGTGGTGACGGTGGACATTGCGTGACCATCTACCGGTTCCCTCCCGCTGTAGATCACTAAGCCATGCGACAACACCTGCGGAGAGACCACACACCTGTAGTGAGTCACTGTGCTTGGCAACACGTGTTGTGGGACACATGTTCCAGCCGACTTGGGTTAGATGACCGTTGTTTATTTCGACACTACTAACAAGGGTAAGATACCATGTGTTACACGGATCTTCTCCACTCCTGGTAAGTACAATCTCTACACGTGATTTGACGCCATGAAAGAATTGTTGCGATAGCTGTATGTTGATACCTGTCTGTGCACTTGTATACTTATGAGTTTATATATGTTAATTGCAAGACGTTAACGTTATGTTGAGTTAAGAGGATGCAAATTAATATTTACAAGGTATGAGGTGCGCGTGTGCCAGATGTACATGTACATAGTGTATGCGCGTGTGTCAGATGTACACGTACATAGTGTATGCGCGTGTGCCAGATGTACACGTACATAGTGTATGCGCGTGTGCCAGATGTACACGTACATAGTGTATGCGCGTGTGCCTGATGTACACGTACATAGTGTATGCGCGTGTGCCAGATGTACACGTACATAGTGTCATACAGCTTGAAACACAGGAGTGTTAGTACTGGCCAGAGGGGGGGGGGTTGAATTAGCCTAAGCTATTCTATCCCTTTGAGATGTATTTCTTTTTCGTCTCCATAAACATACTTGAACTTGCTGGCCAGACTGTCCCTTAATATAAACAACAACAGCAGCAGCAGCACACGAAGATGTTCGCAAGAGATTTACCCACCACGAAGTTGAAGTGGTCCATGTAGAAGTTGTTCCTGACGTGGAGGATGATGAACTCCCCCGGAGTGGCGTCGGTGGTGGAGGTCTCCACCTGCAGGTGACGGTCCCTGGGGGAGTGATGCAGCGCCCCCAGCAGCGTGGCGGACGCCGTCAGGCCGCTGCTGGTCACTAACCTGCAACACCAGGGGTGGGTGAGAGAGGGACGAGTGGCTTGTGACAATGGTGGACAATTGTCAATACTGTACAGTGATAGTGAGTGCACTAGTAGTGATGACGATGGTGAGCACTAGGAGTGGCAATACTGTACTGAACGATACCCCCTTGTACCGCAATGGTATCATCACCAGACAATTAATTTAATAATACCATCATTCGGTAAGATACCATGCGAGACAGAAAGAAAGAGAGAGAGAGAGAGAGAGAGAGAGAGAGAGAGAGAGAGAGAGAGAGAGAGAGAGAGAGAGAGAGAGAGAGAGAGAGAGAGAGAGAGAGACAGACTGACTTGGGGTACCAGTCACACCAGTAATAAAAAAAGACCTTAGATAATATATTTAACTGTAAATAATATTTAACAAGAGAATATATATATATATACGGGAAAGATTACTGATTAGACTTCATAAAAAAACAGTACTTGCAGTCTCCATCAAATTACTGGAACAAGAGTAACTGCGATGCCCCTGAATCTTATATTTTACCAGCGTGTTCAGTTTAACAAGGTCATTGACTCGTATAATACACCAGAGGTCAGTTTCAAACAGAACACTTGACTCGTCAAGTGTTCTGACGAGTCCGGACCTGACGTGTTCTGACCTTCTTAGGTGAAGGGTATTGACTCATACCCTTCACCTAAGAAGGTCCTGCCACAGGAACTTCACCCAAGAAGGTCCTGCCACTGGATCTTCACACAAAGTAAGTTAGAGCAATGAGGAGGCTCACCTGGCGTCCACCTTGAGAGCCTGAGCACCATCAGGCAGGTCAAAGGTCACCTGGGCCACACCTGACCCTTCCAACAGCGTCGCCCCCAACACCTCCACGCTCTCCACCTGCACACAGGATAAACTTATTGATTAATATGATAACACATTTTAAAAAAATATGATATATTTGTCAAGGCATTGATCATAATTTCATGCAAAGATGTAATGAGTGTAACCATTTAACTGAAACAAGTGTTACGACGGCTCACACTTTCACACTTTCACACTACACACACACACACACACACACACACACACACACACACACACACACACACACACACACACACACTTGCACCCACACACACAGCTTGCACCCAACACAAACTGAACAGTGAGTATAGAATACGCCTCAGGAATAGGCTCGGAGTTAAAAAAAAAAAAAAAAAAAACATCCGTCAAGGTAGACGCAAGGAATACGCGAGACAAGAACTACCCTGCGGGTGTTGAGGACGAACCTGAGAGACCGGGCCGGAGACAGTCAGGACCACGGTGACCTGGGCGTCCGCCAGCTCCTCCTCCCCCAGCGGGTGGTCATCTTGATACGACGCGAATACCTGTCGCCAGAAACAATGTTAAGTCAACACGTTAACTGCAGAAGACGCGGGGTTAAAATAACATAAGTGTCTCCCCTAGAGCCCCCCACACATAAACACACACACACGCACACGCACACGCACACGCACACACACACACACACACACACACACACACACAGTACCAGCAGGCCAGGGTAACACATTATATTCTCATACTTATCTTATAAACTCTCCAGTCTTTTATTTATTTATGCTCAGACCGCAAGCCAGAATTAAATATATTTGCATGTGTGTATGAACAGTATTATATAAATATATATATATGCGGAAAAACCACACTGAAAAGAGAATGCTGAATGCGTTTTCGGCCTTAGAGCCATCCTCAGAGCAAAATACGATATTCTATTTTGTTGAGAGGATAGCCTGAGGCTGAAAACGCGTTCAGCAATCACTTGTTTTTAATGTGATTTTCCGCATACTTGGATCAGTGTTTTCGTAATCGTTGTGTCTCTCTCATATATAAGTCCCGAGAATCAATTCTTGTGGCGCCGGAGGAGGTGAGGGTGGTCTAAGACATGGGGTTTAAGACCCCCGCACTTCACTGCGACCCACCACGGGAGACATCTCCCGTCACGCAGGGTGCAGCCGCACCTCCACAGATCTCCAGTATCATCTATTGATACTGGTAATGGCTCAAAAGGGCCACCACTTACGGGCTATTCGTGCCCGTGCCACCTTTTGGGTGGCTTAATCTTCATCAATCAATCAGCGATCCACGTCTCCCACCACCCTCCCGCTCCTCAAGTCCTCTCTCTCTCTCCTCACACACAACAAATGCCCCGCTACGTCTCAACGACGCCTCTGAGTCTGCAGCGCCGTGGTGGTTCTTGTTGAATGAGATCCAACTCTCAAGTCTTTCATGATATTTCATGAATTTGATGAATAATTTCATGATAATTCATGAATATTACAGGGTTGAGCTTTGGCTCTTTGGTCCCATCTCTCAACTGTCAATCAACTGGTGTACAGGTTCTGGAGCCTATTGGGCTCTGTCAAATCTACATCTGAAACTGTGTATGGAGTCAGCCTCCACCACATCACTGCCTAATGCATTCCATTTGTTAACTACTCTGACACTGAAAAATTCTTTCTAATGTCTCTGTGGCTCATTTGGGTACTAAGTTTCCACCTGTGTCCCCTTGTTCATGTTCCACCCGTGCTAAATAGTTTGTCTTTGTCCACCCTGTCAATTCCCCTGAGAATTTTGTAGGTGGTTATCATGTCTCCCCTTACTCTTCTGTCTTCCAGGGACGTGAGGTTTAATTCCCGTAACCTTTCCTCGTAGCTCATACCTCTCAGTTCTGGGACTAGTCTGGTGGCATACCTCTAAATCTTCTCTAAATTTGTCTTGTGTTTAACTAGGTATGGACTCCAGGCTGGAGCTGCATACTCCAGGATTGGTCTGACATAAGTGGTATACAAGGTCTCTGAACGATTCCTTACACAAGTTTCTAAAGGCAGTTCTTATGTTGGCCAATCTAGCATATGCCGCTGATGATATCCTTTTGATGTGGGCTTCTGGGGACAGGTTCGGTGTGATATCAACTCCCAGATCTTCTCTCTATTTGACTCTTGCAGGATTTCACCTCCCCGATGGTACCTTGTGTTCAGCCTCCTGCTCCCTTCACCAAATTTTATTACTTTACACTTGAGTTAAACGTTAGTTATTCGTGTGTGTTCCCTGAAGACATAGACAGAGCAAATATAAAATAAATGTAATCATATAAATGTCGAAGATAACAAACAAGTGGAAAAATCAAACCTCAAGGTAGTGGAGGAGATTGAATTTTGATAGTCCATCACTTATATTAATAACGTGTCAATCAATCTTAGGCAACGCCATCTTACCTGTCAAAATTTATAGGGATGCTGTTGTTGTTGTTATTGTTTTAGATTTAGCCACTTGGAACTAAAATTTCCATGTAGCACGGTCTATGGTGAGCCCGTAATGTATAGGGATATTTGCACAATATTTTTTTTTTAAGAGATGATTTGGGAGTCGGGAGGGCCAAGTGTGTTTTTTTTTCACTTTATATTTCTTTCCGAGGTAGGATGTAAATTTTTGTCTGTCTGTCTGTATGTATCTGTCTCCGTCTTTGTCTCTCACACACACACAAACATACTCTCACATAAAGGTGGCTCTATTAGTCCTTCACTTCATTAGTTACTGCATCGTCATTTGCATTATTATTTAGTCATTCACATTAGGGACAGAAGAGTGATGTTGGAGTCATTTTTGAGTGAATTTAGCTCTGGAAGATATGTTTGGTGGGAGATGTTGGTGGGAGATGTTGGTGGGAGATGTTGGTGGGAGATGTTGGTGGGAGATGTTACTGCAAGTGTGTACACACACACACACCAGCCCCGGAGGTAATGGGGCTTGATGACTTTAAGAGTGACAACACAATGATAAAAGCTGATGGTGACTGAACTTCCTGTAGTTTGACAACTCTCTCTCTCTTTCTCTCACTATCTTCGTCTCCCTCTCTCTCCTCTCTCCCACACACACTCTCTCTCTCTCTCGTTTCGTACATGTAAACTGTGTGTATGTGTATGTGTGTGTGTGTGTGCATGTGTGTGTGTGTGTGTGTGTGCATGTGTGTGTGTGTGTGTGTGTGTGTGTGTGTGTGTGTGTGTGTGTGTGTGTGTGTGTGTGTGTGTGTGTGTGTGTGTGTGTGTGGGGTAGTGTGACACAGAGTTACCGGGAGCGGGAGACGCCCCGGGTCCACCACCGTACACCGGACAGAGAGAGAGGGACACCTACCTGGCCAGCTCGCCCACTACACCTTCACAGCAGGTCACTCATGCAGGGGGGGACAAACGCAAGGTGCAGGAGGAGGAGGAGGAGGAGGAGGGGGCACACGATTAATAACCAGAATTCTCATATTTGACGAACAAGGGCCGTGACGAGGATTCGAACCTACGTCCGAGATCGTACCAGATCCAGCTGCCTTTATTGACTGGGCTGTCTGGGATGATCTCGGACGTAGGTTCGAATCCTCGTCACGGCTCTTGTGGATTTGTTCATTTGATGCATCACGCTATTGTGATTTCTGTGAATATCATATTTGATACTCATGGCATTAATAATAATAATAATAATAATGTCCGTAATAATATTAATAATACACAAATTTAATAATTTAGATCAATAAATTAAAATAATACTAAACATAAACATAATATTAATAACTAAATCGAGAAATAACTCCAAATTTATATATATTAGAATAAAAAGATATCATCAGAGAGAGGATATTGATGCCTCGTCCCCCAATACATTAATATGTGTAGTGTATCAAGCAATCTCTCACACACACACAATGTTAAGTGCATTGTGTAAATCAAGTGTAAATCAACAGTCTCTCCTTCATATATATATATATATATATATATATATATATATATATATATATATATATATATATATATATATATATATATATATATATATATATATATATATATATATAACCACTTCATCCACCACACAACCACGTGTAAATTACAGTGACATAGCATAAACCCCCCAAGATCATCACTGCACATTCTGTCCCGCTTACATTATAACTCTGGGTAAGAACTATTACAACTAGTCAATGCACATACGGAGTCAAAACATACTGACCGAGCAGAGGCACACACACACTGTTCTGTCCGAGCAGAGAGACACACTCTTCTGTCCGAGCAGAGAGACACTCTCTTCTGTCCGAGCAGAGGCACTCTCTCTCTTCTGTCCGAGCAGAGGCACTCTCTTCACATCCTGAGGCACCCAGCAAGCGGTCGGGGGCACCAAGTCACGGGATAAATATTGTCCTTTGTCAAAGTTAATGGTTTCCCACGAAACTTAGTTATATCAGAGGGGGAAAGTACTTGCAGAGGTGGGGAGGGGAGGGGGGGGGGAAGAGAATGGCATCTTTCACCTCAGTTTTGTGACCTCAAGAGGTACATCATCTCCTGTGTCAGGTACGACGGGCTTGCAACTGCTTGCAACTCTTTGTGTTCCGAGTAGCTAAATCTTAAACAACAACAAGACAACGTGAAGATGTTGTTTAAGATTGTTCACCCTGAGGAGGTAATGAGAGCAAGACCTTATAGAGAGGTTTACCTGCATGTAAACTAACAGCTTCAGTACGTAAACACTAAATTTTATATATATATATATATATATATATATATATATATATATATATATATATATATATATATATATATATATATATATATATATATATATATATATATATATATATATATATATATATATATATATATATATATATATATATATTTTGGTAGCAGTCTTTCCTGTAGACATATTTTATTAAATATGACCGAAAAAGTAAGATTAATAATTCTAACACGAATTTTCTCAATCTTTCGTACATTATGCTTCACTGTTGGAGGTAAATCAAAAATCACTTCTCCAAAATTCATTTTTATTTCTAGTCTGACGCGACACGGGCGCGTTTCGTAAAACTTATTACATTTTCAAAGACTTCACAAATACACAACTGATTAGAACTTGCGTTTCCCTGATTTTATATCTACATTTGAGTGAGGTGGGAAGGGTGATGTGGCATTACATTTGAGTAAGGTGGGAAGGATGATGTGGCATTAGAGGATATTAATAGGGTATTAAAAGTATCAACACAAGACAGAACACGAAACAATGGATATTGAATAGAAGTGTTTGTAGAAAGCCTATTGGTCCATATTTCTTGATGCTTCTATATTGGAGCGGAGTCTTGAGGTGGGTAGAATATAGTTGTGCAATAATTGGCTGTTGATTGCTGGTGTTGACTTCTTGATGTGTAGTGCCTCGCAAACGTCGAGCCGCCTGCTATCGCTGTATCTATCGATGATTTCTGTGTTGTTTACTAGGATTTCTCTGGCGATGGTTTGGTTATGGGAAGAGATTATATGTTCCTTAATGGAGCCCTGTTGTTTATGCATCGTTAAACGCCTAGAAAGAGATGTTGTTGTCTTGCCTATATACTGGGTTTTTTGGAGCTTACAGTCCCCAAGTGGGCATTTGAAGGCATAGACGACGTTAGTCTCTTTTAAAGCGTTCTGTTTCGTGTCTGGAGAGTTTCTCATGAGTAGGCTGGCCGTTTTTCTGGTTTTATAGTAAATCGTCAGTTGTATCCTCTGATTTTTGTCTGTAGGGATAACGTTTCTATTAACAATATCTTTCAGGACCCTTTCCTCTGTTTTATGAGCTGTGGAAAAGAAGTTCCTGTAAAATAGTCTAATAGGGGGTATAGGTGTTGTGTTAGTTGTCTCTTCGGAGGTTGCATGGCTTTTCACTTTCCTTCTTATGATGTCTTCGATGAAACCATTGGAGAAGCCGTTATTGACTAGAACCTGCCTTACCCTACAGAGTTCTTCGTCGACTTGCTTCCATTCTGAGCTGTGGCTGAGAGCACGGTCGACGTATGCGTTAACAACACTCCTCTTGTACCTGTCAGGGCAGTCGCTGTTGGCATTTAGGCACATTCCTATGTTTGTTTCCTTTGTGTAGACTGCAGTGTGGAAACCTCCGCCCTTTTCCATGACTGTTACATCTAGAAAAGGCAGCTTCCCATCCTTTTCCGTCTCGTAAGTGAAACGCAGCACGGAACTCTGCTCAAATGCCTCCTTCAGCTCCTGCAGATGTCTGACATCAGGTACCTGTGTAAAAATGTCGTCAACATACCTGCAGTATATGGCCGGTTTCAAGTTCATGTCGACTAAGACTTTTTGCTCGATGGTACCCATGTAGAAGTTTGCAAACAGGACACCTAGGGGAGAACCCATAGCGACCCCATCTACTTGCTTATACATGTGCCCATCCGGGCTCAAGAAGGGTGCCTCTTTAGTACAAGCTTGGAGTAGTTTCCTCAGAATACTTTCTGGCATGTCAAGAGGAGTACAGGCTGGATCACGATACACTCTGTCGGCTATCATTCCGATTGTCTCGTCCACAGGTACGTTTACCAACGTACCTGTGGACGAGACAATCGGAATGATAGCCGACAGAGTGTATCGTGATCCAGCCTGTACTCCTCTTGACATGCCAGAAAGTATTCTGAGGAAACTACTCCAAGCTTGTACTAAAGAGGCACCCTTCTTGAGCCCGGATGGGCACATGTATAAGCAAGTAGATGGGGTCGCTATGGGTTCTCCCCTAGGTGTCCTGTTTGCAAACTTCTACATGGGTACCATCGAGCAAAAAGTCTTAGTCGACATGAACTTGAAACCGGCCATATACTGCAGGTATGTTGACGACATTTTTACACAGGTACCTGATGTCAGACATCTGCAGGAGCTGAAGGAGGCATTTGAGCAGAGTTCCGTGCTGCGTTTCACTTACGAGACGGAAAAGGATGGGAAGCTGCCTTTTCTAGATGTAACAGTCATGGAAAAGGGCGGAGGTTTCCACACTGCAGTCTACACAAAGGAAACAAACATAGGAATGTGCCTAAATGCCAACAGCGACTGCCCTGACAGGTACAAGAGGAGTGTTGTTAACGCATACGTCGACCGTGCTCTCAGCCACAGCTCAGAATGGAAGCAAGTCGACGAAGAACTCTGTAGGGTAAGGCAGGTTCTAGTCAATAACGGCTTCTCCAATGGTTTCATCGAAGACATCATAAGAAGGAAAGTGAAAAGCCATGCAACCTCCGAAGAGACAACTAACACAACACCTATACCCCCTATTAGACTATTTTACAGGAACTTCTTTTCCACAGCTCATAAAACAGAGGAAAGGGTCCTGAAAGATATTGTTAATAGAAACGTTATCCCTACAGACAAAAATCAGAGGATACAACTGACGATTTACTATAAAACCAGAAAAACGGCCAGCCTACTCATGAGAAACTCTCCAGACACGAAACAGAACGCTTTAAAAGAGACTAACGTCGTCTATGCCTTCAAATGCCCACTTGGGGACTGTAAGCTCCAAAAAACCCAGTATATAGGCAAGACAACAACATCTCTTTCTAGGCGTTTAACGATGCATAAACAACAGGGCTCCATTAAGGAACATATAATCTCTTCCCATAACCAAACCATCGCCAGAGAAATCCTAGTAAACAACACAGAAATCATCGATAGATACAGCGATAGCAGGCGGCTCGACGTTTGCGAGGCACTACACATCAAGAAGTCAACACCAGCAATCAACAGCCAATTATTGCACAACTATATTCTACCCACCTCAAGACTCCGCTCCAATATAGAAGCATCAAGAAATATGGACCAATAGGCTTTCTACAAACACTTCTATTCAATATCCATTGTTTCGTGTTCTGTCTTGTGTTGATACTTTTAATACCCTATTAATATCCTCTAATGCCACATCATCCTTCCCACCTTACTCAAATGTAATGCCACATCACCCTTCCCACCTCACTCAAATGTAGATATAAAATCAGGGAAACGCAAGTTCTAATCAGTTGTGTATTTGTGAAGTCTTTGAAAATGTAATAAGTTTTACGAAACGCGCCCGTGTCGCGTCAGACTAGAAATAAAAATGAATTTTGGAGAAGTGATTTTTGATTTACCTCCAACAGTGAAGCATAATGTACGAAAGATTGAGAAAATTCGTGTTAGAATTATTAATCTTACTTTTTCGGTCATATTTAATAAAATATATATATATATATATATATATATATATATATATATATATATATATATATATATATATATATATATATATATATATATATATATAAACCATTTGGACGGTCGGGGGGATTGAACGCCGACCTGCATGAAGCGAGACCGTCGCTCTACCGTCCAGCCCAAGTTGTTGGACCCACTGGGAAGGGGAGAGAGGATAGTTTATATTACTTAAAACATACTTACAGCTTCAAGTCACACTTACATGGACGGTGGTGGGCATGCCGGGCCTGAAGATGAGCGGCTGGTCCCCCAGGAAGGTCAGCTTGGCCTCCTCCTGCACCAGCCGGGCTAGCGCCCACCCCTCCTGCACCCACCACCCGAAGGAGTCGCCGACGGCGGCCCACACCCGCACACTCACGTCCTTCAGGTCGTCGCTGCCCAGCTTCTCCCGCACCTTCCACAACGGGAGGCTGAAGGCCTGGTACCCACGGAACTGTGAACGGATGGTGATGGAGGATTTAATGAAGTAAATAGTAGGATTATCGATTTCATTGTTGAGGATTTATTTGCCGGAAATAATTGTTTATGTATTTGTGTTTTTGTTCTTGTGTTTCAGCAGTTTTGTTAACGTGTTGTGGCGACTCACCCCGTAGATGAACTCCTCGTAGGCGTCGGTGAAGGAGTCTGGGATGTGGGCGTAGTCGTGGCGGGCGAACTGCAGTTTGATGGAGCAGTTGCCGAAGACATTCCTCCAGTTGGTCATGTTGGCCACCACCACGCCCTCCACGTACTCCGCCGTCGTGTGCACCGTCAGCGGCAGCCGCACGAACACCTGCCGGAGGCCACATCAGGTCAACCACCAATATCAGGTCCGGGCCGCTCCAAGCAACAGCCTGGTGGACCAAACTCTCACAAGTCAAGTCTGGCCTCGGGCCGGGCTTCGGGAGTAGAAGAACTCCCAGAACCCTATCAACCAGGTATTAACTAGGTAAAAAGAAATAGTCGCTCTTGGGGTCCTTGGTTTCCATTATCAGTTATTTACCCAACTCGTTCAAGAACTATTGTATTCCACAGAGTAACTTGTGCATGACGGAGAGTTCAAGGCGCCACCAGCATCAGTTGTGGTTGGCGACCTTGGGGCGCGGTAAAACTGTACATATAGAACATTTAATACAAGTGGAAGGTGAGGGGCCTAGACAGCGAGGACGAAGACCTACCTCGAACCTTGGTCTGAAGTAGTGCTCCACTTCGATGTCCTTGTCCTCCACTTGGGTCTTGGCCCGCACTCTGATCTTCCACGTCCCCACCAGAGGGTACTCGGGCAGCTCGAACTTGAGGTTGATCACTCCTGCAATGTTACAAGCGATGTTATGCAAGGTAACAGACTCAACACACGAGGCTACATCACCAGGCAACAAGACGAGGGTGTCACACAGTGCACTACACCTTCACCTCCTCGTCTCGGTACACTGTGTATTGCGGCACTCCAGTACTGAGTGATTTTTTTTTTGAGATATATACAAGAGTTGTTACATTCTTGTACAGCCACTAGTACGCGTAGCGTTTCGGGCAGGTCCCTGGAATACGATCCCCGCCGCGAAGAATCGTTTTTTCATCCAAGTACACATTTTACTGTTGCGTTAAACAGAGGCTACAGTTAAGGAATTGCGCCCAGTAAATCCTCCCCGGCCAGGATACGAACCCATGACATAGCGCTCGCGGAACACCAGGCGAGTGTCTTACCACTACACCACGGAGACAAACTATAAGACTATATTGATTGTATAATACAAAGCCAGATAGTAAGGCAGGGTGAAGGGACGGGGTGAAGGGACAGTGCAGGAGAGTAACTCACCATGACCAGTCTGGTAAGAGGGCCAGCGTCGCATCTTCAGACCTCGGGGATCCTGTGGGGGAGAAAGAGAGAGAGATTGGTGAGATGTGAGAGAAAACGGTAAGAGATAAAGAGAGTCAGAGGTGACGAAGAGAGTGAGGGACGAGGAAGGGGTGAGTGGTGAGGATGACAGCTACACACACACACACACACACACACACACACACACACACACACACACAAGAAAGAGCAAAGCTCAACCCCCGCAAACACAACTAGGTGAATACACAGACGCTCGTCCCAGAGTTACGAGGGATGGGGTATGAAGAGCGCCTGAAGGAACTGAACCTTACGACTCTAAAAAAAAAAAGGGAGAGGGGGGGGGGAGACATGATAGGAACGTATAAAATACTCAGGAGAATTGACAAAGTGGAAATAAATGAAATGTTCACACGTAATAGTAACAGAACGAGGGGACATGAGTGGAAGCTGAAAACTCAGATGAATCACAGAGATGTTAGGAAGTTTTCTTTTAGCGTGAGTAGTGGGAAAATGGAATGCACTTAAGGAACAGGTTGTGGAAGCAAACTCTATTCATAATTTTAAAACTAGATATGATAGATAGGAACGGAGTCATTACTGTAAACAACCGATGACTAGAAAGGCGGGATCCAAGAGTCAGTGCTCGATCCTGCTGGCACAAATAGGTGAGTACACATGCACACACTTGTGCGCGCGTGCGCAAGCGAGAGCGGGACGGGGACGAGGTCAAAGACTTCCTGACGTAACCCAACCTGTCCTACAAAAAAAACGTCGCTTTTCGCCCGTATGCGTCACATAAGGCCAAAAATTGTCGTACCAGAAAATGGAAGCGGCTGGCGAAAGTGACGTGCTGTCCCGTTTTCTGTTGTGGGTCCTCTGGAAGGTTTGGACAGGACACTTTACATTGACCGTTTTCTAGACGTTGGCAAACCTTAGGAGGACGAGCTGCGTTGGTTGTCGGCTTCAAATTTTTAGAAGATTTGAGTTGTTACAAAGATGGAAATATCAATATAAGAAACAGTTGTGGGCAGCACACCGGACAATTCCGTCTGAATATGTACAATGTCATGTTGACCAGTCCACACACTAGAAGGGGAAGGGACGACGACGTTTCGGTCCGTCCTGGACCATTCTCAAGTCGACAATCGACAATCTAGTGTGTGTGGTCTGGTCAACATTCTTCAGCCACGTTATTGTGACTCATCGCCTACAATGTCATACATGTCTAGACTCTACACTCACAAACACCGCCTGATGGACAAGGAGGAGGAGTCAAACTATAACAGCAAACACCAGACTCATCACAGATGTCTGTAACAACCTGTTATTGAAGTGACGGAGGTCATCGCCTCTCTCTCTCTCTCTCTCTCTCTCTCTCTCTCTCTCTCTCTCTCTCTCTCTCTCTCTCTCTCTCTCTCGTCTTTGGTAACACTCTCAGTCACGCTCTGTGAGGTGTGGTTGCAGGGTGTGGCAGGGGCAGGCGAGGATGGGGTAGGGACGGCAGTAGTGTGGCTTCAACTTACCAATGGCCGGTCACTGGCCGGTCATTGGCCCGGTCACTGGCCCGGTCACTGGTCCACTCACTGGCCCGGTCACTAACCGATCACACAACAATGTCACTATCGCAATAATCCACATTTGAAGTATGAATCATATATATGAACGTTTTCCAATTTCCTGTTAGCGTGCAAATACAAAAAAAATACGAATTGAACATATTTTTTGATCGTGAAAGAAGTATGTAGTGAAGAGAGCGAGAGAGGAGCTCACTGTACACCGTAAGAGGCTCCACACGGTATATTATGTGGGTGACTGTGCACCTTGGGGTGCTGGGGGCTACTGTGCCACGGGTCACGGCTTCCAAGACTCGCCTTATAGGAATTTCCGGATATTAACCTTTCCCAGACGGTGACCCGTTCGTCCCCACAACTTGAGTCAACTCCTGATATAATTATTATGTTTTCAATGTAAATAAACGAACGGGTCGACCTTAGGAGAGAGTTATGACAGACAGATAGCAGTAGCACTAGCAACAGCACTAGCAGCAGCAGCACTATGACCAGCAGCAGCAGCAGTAGCAGTAGTAGCACTAGCAGCAGCAGCAGCAGCAGCAGCAGCACTACAGCAGCAGCAGCAGCACTAGCAGTAGCAGCAGCAGTAGCACTAGCAGCAGCAGCAGCAGTACTCATGGTATGGTCCAGCTCCCTCAGCATCTCATACTTTAGTCCACCCTACAGTTCTAGCAGGAGCCTAGCTGAATACATCAGGAATAGTGCCAGGTGGCCTGGATGCGTGTTTATATGTGAGGGGTAACATGCCGGAGCCGCGTACACCCCCAGAAGACGATAACATATTATACCAGACACTGCCCTAATTACCTCCTTCCCAACGGTTCCCAAACTATAGTCTTATATTTGCAAGTGACGTGCTTGGTGGTGGTCCCAGCTTTTTACGTGTGCATGCAGTACGAGGCCCATGGTCCTGTCCATCCCAGGACCATTGGCTATATGGTTTCAGGAAGTCATTGTGCTATCATCTCGTACTCTTTACAGGATCTGAGTTGATATCCTGTAGTCGTACGGCATGCCATCCCTAAACCTTGTGCAGGTATTTTGATATTTATCTTTCTTAACTTACACTATGTGCTCTGACTCCTTTAATTAAGTGTGTGTACATCTACATACAAACACTGAGGGTATTTGATGGTTTTGTATAATATATAAATACCGTACCTACTGGGTAGCTGCTGTGATACCTTCCTCTGCCTATCTCACAAGTATTATTATTATTAGTGTGTGTGTGTGTGTGTGTGTGTGTGTGTGTGTGTGTGTGTGTGTGTGTGTGTGTGTGTGTGTGTGTGTGCAAACAATACTGGATGCGGAGATGCGGCCACTGAGCCCATGATGTGAGCCGTGAGCAACTGGGCTGTTGTGGCTGACGTAAAAACATCCCACACTGTGAGGCACCTAAATATTAGACACACACACACACACACACACAGCTGACAGCTGAGCGATGGTGGCATAGATGACAACTCTTGCTGCTTGTGGATACAGTGTCGTAAGTAAAGACAAACTGCATTTTACTCTTGGTGTAGAAAAGTGCTTATCTGTGTCTTCAGTGAGAAGGATTGGAAGTAAAGCGGACCGGGCCGCGGGGACGCTAAGCCCCGAAAACATCTCAAGATAACCTCAAGATGATACCTCTGCTCCATGCTCGTTCTTCCTTGTTTACTGATCATTCAGCATATCTTACTGACTCATTTGTCATAAATCCCACTGTCGTTGTGGATAATGACTACCTCGTTTAGGTCCCTCAGTATGTTATGATCCAGTCACCTGTGGTGGTTGTGTCTTGTAGTGTCACCTTACACTGAGTTCTCTTGGTCTGTTCTTATAGCTCATGCCCTTTGTGTGTGGTATCGCCGCTCTCCTCACAAATCTATAGACATTTTTATAAATTTTTTCTTTGGCGGCACAAGAT